AGGGTGGGTGGGTGGGGTTCAAAGAGCCAGCCATTGAGTTCATGTCAGAAATAGTCCCTGTTCCCCTTATTAGGGTACCCACTTGGATACTGAGCTACCATGGGCTACATCTGAGCAGGAGTTCTAGATTATATCCATACATGGTCCTTGGTTGGAGATACAGTCTCACAAAAGAACCCTATGCCCAGATATATTTGGTCCTTGTGGAGCTCCTATCCTCTCCAGGTCATACTAACTCCCCCTTCTTTCATAAGATTCCCTGTACTCTGCTGAAGGTTTGGTTGAGTCTCAGTATCTGCTTTGATACACTGCTAGGTAGAGTTTTTCAGAGGCCGTCTGCGGTAAGCTTCTGTCCTGTTACTTGGTTTTGCTTCTTAATGAAAGGACAAAGTTAAACCTCCGCATCATCTCTGAATAGTTTCCACCTCAGCATTATCTGGGGCTGTTCAAGTTTATTCCTGACACCTGTTGAATCGAGTGGATGCTAGAACTTTAGAACGTAGTTCAGAGCATGAAATGCTGCCTTCAACAGGACTCCTTTAATTTTGCTTATGAAACGCTTTGTCAGATGTTTCTTTTAAATAATGCCCTGTCCTCAGATTTTTCCTAGAATGAAACACGCTGCCAGGTAAAGGATTTAAGAGATCTAGGCCATGCTTACTCAATGAAATGCAGCCGAGTGGAAAATACCCAGTCTTCCTGGCTCAGAACACTAGGTCCTTTCTGATATAGTGGTTTGAGGAGATTGTATTCTTAAAAGAGCTGCTTACTAGGAGCAGGTTTTTATATCTTTTGTTTTTTTTTTTTTTTTTGATTTTCACCTTATTTTTTTTTTTATTTTATTTTATTTTTCTTTTTAGTTACATTTTGTTAACTCTGTGTCCCAGCTGTATCCCGCTCCCTCATTCCCTCCCCAACCCCACACTCCCTCCCTGGTCTCCTCCCTGCCCCTTTCCAAGTCCCCTGATAGGGGAGGACCTCCTCCCCTTTCATCTGACCCTGTTTTATCAGGTATCTTCAGGGCTGGCTGCAAAGTCCTCCTCTGTGGCCTAACAGACTGCTCCTCCCCTGGGGTGGGGGTCAAACAGCCTGCCCTTGAGATCCTATTAGAAATAGTCCGTGTTCCCCTTACTTTGGAAAACTACTTGGTTACTGAGCTACCACAGGCCACATCCGAGCAGAAGTTCTAGGTTATATCCATAGATGGTCCTTGGTTGAGTGTCAGTCTCAGAAAAGACCCTGTGCCCAGATATATTTGGTCCTTGTAGAGCTCCTATCCTTTCCATATCATACTAACTTCCCTTCTTTCATATGATTCCCTGCACTCTGCCGAGGGTTTGGTTATGAGTCTTAGTGTCTGCTTTGAAACACTGCTAGGTAGAGTCTTTCAGATGCCTTTTGTGATAGACTCCTGTCATAAGTTCAATGCACATCCCATTTGTCTTTCTAAATGAGGATTAATCACCTTCGCCTGTGTCCACTTTCTTGATTATCTTCTTTAGGTGTGTAGATTTCATTATGTTTATCATGTCTTGTAGGTCTATATAAGCGAGTATATACCAAGTTTGTCTTTCTCCTTCTGGGATACTTCACTCAGAATGATCTTTTCTAGATCCCACCACTTGCCTGCAAATTTCATGATTTCTTCCTTTTTGATTGCTGAGTAGTATTCCATTGTGTAAAAATACCACAGTTTCTGTATCCATTCCTCCGTTGATGGACATCTGGGTTGTTTCCAAGTTCTGGCTATTACAAATAAAGCTGCTACGAACATGGTTGAACAAATGTCCTTGTTGTGTACTTGAGCAAATTTTGGGTACATACCTAGGAGTGGTATAGCTGGGTCTTGAGGTAGCACTACTCCTAGTTGTCTGAGAAAGCGCCAGATTGACTTCCAAAGTGGTTGAACCAGTTTACATTCCCACCAGCAATGGAGGAGGGTTCCCTTTTCTCCACAACCTCTCCAGCATGTGCTATCACTTGAGTTTTTCATCTTGGCCATTCTGATGGGTGTAAGGTGATATCTCAGGGTCGTTTTGATTTGCATTTCCCTAATGGCTAATGAGGTTGAGCATTTCTTTAAGTGTTTCTCTGCCATTCGACGTTCCTCTTTCGAGAATTCTCTGTTTAGCTCTGTTCCCCATTTTTTAAGTAGATTACTTGGTTTGTTGCTTTTCTGCTTCTTTAGTTCTTTATATATACTTGATATTAGCCCTCTGTCAGATAAAGGGTTGGTGAAGATTCTTTCCCAATCTGTAGGCTGTCTATTTGTTTTGATGACAGTGTCTTTTGCTTTACAGAAGCTTTTCAGTTTCATGAGGTCCCATTTATTGATTGTTGCTCTTAGAGCCTGTGCTGTTGGTGTTCTGTTCAGGAAGTTGTCTCCTGTGCCAATGAATTCTAGGCTGTTTCCCACTTTTTTTTCCAGCTGATTTAGAGTATCTGGTTTTATGTTGAGGTCCTTGATCCACTTGGACTTTAGTTTTGTGCAGGGTGATAGATATGGATCTATTTTCATTTTTCTGCATGTAGACATCCAGTTGGTCCAGCACCATTTGTTGAAGATGCTGTCTTTTTTCCATTGAATGGATTTGGCTTCTTTGTCAAATATTGAGAATTCATAGGTGTGTGGGTTTATTTCTGGGTCTTCTATGCGATTCCATTGATCCTCCTTTCTGTTTCTATGCCAATACCATGCAGTTTTTATTACTGTTGCCCTGTAGTACAGCTTGAGATCGGGAATGGAGATACCTCCAGATGATCTGTTGTTGTACAGGATCGTTTTGGAGATTCTGGGTTTTTTGTTTCTCCATATGAAGCTGAGAATCTTTTTTTCAAGGTCTGTAAAGAATTGAGTTGGTATTTTGATGGGAATTGCATTGAATCTGTAGATTGCTTTTGGCAGGATGGCCATTTTCACAATGTTAATCCTACCAATCCATGAGCACGGGAGATCTTTCCATCTTCTGAGATCTTCTTCAATTTCTTTCTTCAAAGACTTGAAGTTTTTCTCAAATAGGTCTTTCACTTGCTTGGTTAGAGTCACACCAAGGTACTTTATGTTGTTAGTGGCTATTGTGAAGGGTGTTGTTTCCCTAATTTCTTTCTCAGCCTTTTTGTCTTTGGTATACAAGAGGGCCTCTGATTTTTTTGAGTTGATTTTGTATCCTGCCACTTTGCTGAAGGTGTTTATCAGCTGAAGAAGTTCTCTGGTTGAATCTTTGGGGTCGCTCATGTATACTATCATATCATCTGCAAATAGTGACACTTTGACCTCTTCCTTTCTGATTTGTATCCCCTTGATCTCCTTTAGTTGTCTTATTGCTCTGGCTAGGACTTCAAGTACAATGTTAAAGAGATATGGAGAGAGTGGGCAGCCTTGTCTTGTCCCTGATTTCAGTGGGATTGATTTAAGTTTCTCTCCATTGAGTTTGATGTTGGCTATAGGCTTGCTGTATATTGCCTTTACTATCTTTAGGTATGTGCCTTGTATCCCTGATCTCTCCAAGACTTTAAACATAAATGGGTGCTGGACTTTGTCAAATGCTTTTTCAGCATCTAAGGAGATGATCATGTGGTTTTTCTCCTTCATTTTGTTTATGTGGTGGATTACATTGATGGATTTCCGTATGTTGAACCACCCTTGCATTCCTGGGATGAAGCCTACTTGGTCATGGTGGATGATATCTTTGATGTGTTCTTGGATTCGGTTTGCAAGTATTTTATTGAGTATTTTTGCATCAATGTTCATAAGAGAGATAGGTCTGAAGTTCTCTTTTTTTGTTGGATCTTTGTGTGGTTTAGGTATCAAAGTGACTGTGGCTTCATAGAATGAGTTTGGTAGTGTTCCTTCTGTTTCTATTTTATGGAATAGTTTGTGGAGAATTGGTGTTAGTACTTCTTTGAAGGTCTTGTAGAATTCTGCGCTGAAGCCATCTGGTTTTTATATCTTTTGTAAGATTGTGTGTTGGAGTTGCTTTCTGCAGGAATTCACGTCTGTTTAAAAAAAAAAAAAAGCCGCATCTCCTCCAGCCAAGGAGAAGCTGTTCTTGAACTTGGTGCTGCTTTTCAACCTTCGCCCTCCTGTTGGGAAGACTTGTCTGAGTCAGATCACTGAGGATTAGTAAGGAGTGCATTGCTCAGCACCCTGCAATGGTTCGGTCAAACACCTTGGCCTTGAAGAGTCAGTTATGCTTTTGCTTAGTAAGCCTAGAAATTTCAGGTCCCACTGCAAAATGCAGCCTGCCAGCCCATGGCTCTTCCACATGTCTCTTCCATTATGTCTAACAGTGTCGCAAATAACTGGATAGATTACTGGTGCATTTGATCTCTGGCTGTTGGAGGAAGATTGGTGCCCTGTGCAGTTCATCCTTCTACTTGAAGAAGTTTGGTGTCTTACAGAGGAAAAATGGAAGTGTTTATTTTAACCTGTTAGTAGGAATAGCAAGTGGTCAGAGAGCCCATGACAATATTATTTTGAGGCAAGGACAGAGGATTCTGGGTCAGATACCAACAAGGGGGATCTATTGTGTCCAAAATGTCTGCCGGACAATGGAGGGCTGGGACCAGAAAGAATGGTGCTTGGAAGGGACACTGAGGCCAAGGGTAGAAGGAATCTGCTGGTGATAGGTAGGAGCTTTGTCTGTGGGTGAAAAGCAAAGGAAAAGGAACCAGTAGACTAGATGTGTATAAAATACAGTGACAGAAGTGATCACAGCAAGAGTAACAGGTTTTACACTTACCGGTTTAGACATTTTTATGATTTAACTTAACATGAGATATCACCAGGCAATAAGACCAAGTATTTGGGGGTTTAACATACTTTCCACTTAGCTCTATTTATGCTCCAGCCTGGACTCAGTAAAACACTCCAGGAATTGATGTGGTTAAAAACCTCCTCACCATCCTCATCACCATATCCCAGTGTTTACAAAATATTCAACCGAAGCCTGTGCCCTTGAAGAGAACTGTCTAATGAGAATTCACTTGTGTTTCTCCAGGTAGCCCAGCCATGACCCATAGGAATCTGACATCCTCCAGTCTGAATGACATTTCTGATAAACCAGAGAAGGACCAGGTAAGCAAAGACTTTTCCTCTTTCAATTTTAACACAGACTGTATCTGAGGAATGCTGGTTTGTGTTAGAGATCGTGTTTGTCACCACCAAAATGGACTGTTATGTGCACAGGGGAGTTTGCTCTTTTTCTAAGGAAGGAAGCAAGATGAGCGGGGAGCAGAGAATCAGGGTTGGCTTTCACCTTTGAGATGCATTCATCTGGCTCTCTTAGCTTTGGAGCTGTAATTGCCTGAGCCTGAACATATTAATGACCTCTACTCTGGGTTTGTTGTAGGGATTAAATGAGGTATTCTGTGAAAAAGTGTTTTGGTGTAATATAAAAGGCTAAGAGGTGATGGTAATTGTCAATTTGTGTGTGTGTGTGTGTGTACGTATCAGGCAAAGATAATGGCATCTGTCTGACTCATTCTCTCTGTAGTTGTTTATGAACCCACATTGCAAGTGCCTGTTTGTAATAAAGAACAGAGATTTTGAACCTTTGCTATTTTTTTTTCTTTTGAAAAAAAAAATGTGGTATAAACTGGGCCATCTTCCTAGTTGGCTGGGTATCTAACAGATAGATTATATTTCAACAACATAGTATATTGATACTTCCTGGTGAAAAAAATATCTCAGGGCATCAAAGAAACTAAAGTTCCCTGTTTCAAAGACAACACAGAGGCCATTTGGTAAAGCTTTTCCTGTTTTGCAAACGTGATGATGACCTGAATTCTATCTTCAGCACCCATGTTAAAAGACAAAACCAACCAACCAACCAAACAACCAACCAAACAAACAAAACCAAAAACCCTAAAATCCCCCAAAACCAAAATCAAAACAAACAAACAAACAAACAAAAAACCAAAAAGAAATAAACAAAAACAGGTGCTGCTGAGCACACTTGTAATCCTAGGGCTGGGAACATAAAGACAGAGTATCCCTGGGAGGTTCTGGCCTTCCAGAGTAGGATCAGCAAGTTCCACCAGAGAGAAACCCTGTCTCAAAATAGCGAGTGATTGATAGATAAAAACATCCAGTATCAATTTGGTCTACACACACACACACACACACACACACACACACACACACACACACACACTGACTGAAATTCTAGCCTGCTCCCAGAGTTACAGGATAAGCAGTAAGGGGTATGCATTGAGAAAATATGGTTTGGTACTTGTTTCAAAACTGGCTAGGTATGTGACGAGCCCAGCTTTCCCCTCTGTTAAATGGAAACGATAGTACTTCATGTAAACATCGGAAAACCAAGCATCTGATTCTTGCTCTTTTAACTTCCTTTGGTATAGCACAGAACACAGTTCTAGCTGGCTTCATGCTGAGGACACTAAGTGGGTATCATTTGCATGGCCTTATTCTTTATATCTGTCTCTTTAAGTAAGGTAGCTTTGACGATTTTTTTTTCATACTTTGCTATTTTTTTTCCTACAAAAAGCAATATTTATGGCCGTGTTCTTTTCTAACTGGCAGCCCTTGTAGTAATGACAGAGCTTTATAGGCCTTGTTTGAATACTGAAAAGTACAGGAAAGGTGAAATTACTCTCTTACTTATGAAACAGCTCTTGGATTCTCTCAACCTTCTCATTGGCACTTCCTTAAAAGGGCCTTCATTTGCCCAGAGCAGATCACCACAAGAACCTTTGGAGATGATCTCTTGTTCCCACTTTCTCTCAGTTCGATATGTTCTCTGTAGCCCTGCACTCCTTTCCCCCTGTGGATTAGAAGCACAATGGGTTTCTAGAAAGTTAAGTTTGACATTTCCCTGAGATCTGGTGTCTTCCTTTGTCCGCTGGTGTTTCTGCAAGAGGCCTCTTCACCAGGACTAATGACCTTGATATTCATAGTTCTTTCTCCTTCCGACCCTTCTGCACATGGTAAAGGTGCAGGGCATTTGCTTGTGAGTCTGTTGGTGGGTAAACACCCGTGTTGGAAGAGAACTTGGACCCTTAGAGTGTCCTTCAGAGCTGCTGAGCTCACTGGTTCCAGTCAGCTCTTACCAAACTGCTAATTATTCACACCCTCTGATAGGGGGCGTGGAGTTGGATAAAACAACACCAGTTAGAGTTAGGCATATCTGGTTGATACAGTTCTGAGTAGGTCTTCTTTTATTAGGGAGGCTGTTATTAGCTAGAAATTTGTAAACAGGCAGCTGGCAAATCTGAAAGAAATTTCTTATTTTATTGGGTCTCTTTAAATCTGGGCATAGGTAGAGGGTGTTTCATGGCTTACAGCATGAATTATATCAAATTTAACTTCAAAGATCAGAATACATTGGAGCATCATGGGGTTTGGATTGACTTTACTATAAAATGTGTGTGGTTTGGATTATTGAAATCCTCCCAAGAACATCTGATCGTCTCTGAGGTTGATGTTAAAATCAAGATAAAAGACCCAGCTTAGGGATTTTACTTGTTCTGTTTGCAAAGCTAGCAAATGAAAGCTAATGAGTATATCTTAGGAGCAATTATCCACCCAAATACAGCTGTCACTGGAGCCAAATAATCCAATGAGGTCTGTCTTCTAAAGGGACCTCTGTTCTTTGCTTCCTTCCAAAGGCTGGAAGAGGAGCTTAAACTGACCCTCAGTCTTGTATACCGTCAGACATGGAGGAGGGATAATGGGGTAAAAGTAAGCTAATTCTTCACACACAGAAGTACTTGGAGCCTTTTAAAGCAAGAAAAAAAAATGGACTTGCAAGTTGATGAAAGCCATGGAAATTCCAGGTTTTATTTCTGTAACCTGTTTTAATACCATAAACCTGGCCTTTTTCTTTTTCTTTTTCTTTCTTTCTTTTTTTTAACCTATTTTTCCTCTGTCTGGATGGGGAAAGCAGGTTGCCAGGCTTGAAGTTTTTTGAAAAAGCTTTTATAATTAATTAGCCAATGTCCTGGAAGTGAGTTTGGCAGTAAAGTCAAACTCATCCTGGGTGCTTTTCCAAGTTGGCCTCCCAAACTTCCATCCAACTGTATCTGAAGTTTCTGATTGACTGATGGTTCTGACTGGATACAGCCTGAACAGTTGTGACCCAGCCTTGTGGCTTCCTGGAGCTATATAACTTCCTTCTACACAAGAGATGGATTTTATGTTCGAAGTGATGAAGAGGAACAGAATGGCCCTTTCTGACAGCTACAGGGTGACACAATTTGAGGACATATTTTAAGCGAGATTCTGTTTTGGAGAAGCAGAAGAAACAAATCTGTGCGGTGCACTTTTTCTTCCTCGCTCTGCCAAGCCCATGCACTTAGGATTTCAGCAGTGGCTGCCCAATTGAAAAATAGCTCAGAACAGTTAAGAGCAGCAGAAAAGCCTAGCCCCAGGGGAACAATGCAGTGTCCCAACCACATCCCTGCTTGGATGTGATGTTTATTAAGCAGAAAGACACCTGTGTGGAGTACATTAACCAACACATCTGGAGCTCATGGAGTTGTACATCTACATAAATTATGTGGGGTTTTTGTTGTTGTTTCTCTGGAATGTACTTTTGCATTAGCAAATTTTCCCAATTGTCTTTGCTTTGCCCTTTTCTATTCCTTTGTTCCTTCTCTGAGAAACGTAGCTGCATGAGAGATGCTATGCAGATGCAAGGCACAGATATCATTTTTCATGAATGAGGCGAGAAGACATAGCAAGGGGTTGGTTTTTTCCTTCCTGGCATTAGGGATCACATCTAGGGTTTTATCCATAAGATGTAAGAACTGAGCTACATGTGTAGCCCTGGGATGGCTGTCCTCACCATTCCTTTGTTAGCTTTAACTCGTAGAGATGCACTGTGCTAATAGCTCTTTATAGGGCTTCACTCTACAGACTGAATGGTGCAGTGTCATCTTGCATGTACAGAGTCAATGGTAGGGGAAATTGCAGCCTGCAGATCCACAGTGCATGCAATAGAGATGCAAGCACTTTGCAGAGTCCCAGGAACACATGCGAAGATTCACGTGATCTGGTAACATCTTATCTGGTTGCCTCATTTGACAGAGTTATCAGACAATGTATCATAATAGGTCTCCCAGGGGAATTTGATCTAGGATTAATCTTTAGAAGTGCATCAGGATCATTTTAAGGATTATCTACTGTCTGTTATCTTTAAATATACTTGGAAGCCTTGATCTTTAATTTTGAAATGTTGGTCATTTATAGAAATAGTTGTAAATTTAAATATTTTGTCAGGGAGTAAGAGGATAAATCATTAAATCATGTCTGAATTTTTAGTTGCTGTTTTGATGACTGTAAAATGGAATCTAGAAGGACACAGTCTACAATCGACTGACTGCTGTTCTTGTTCTTCTACATACACAATGTAGGACCGACTCAGCATAGCTGAGCTGACATGACGTTTTCATGGCTTCAAAGCCAAATTTTCGTCCTAGGGTCTTTGCAAGGATTCTTTCATATTTACAGAGGTGGACATGCACCAAGGCAGTGTCTTTTTTTTTTCCGGTGGACCTACTGATTTTGGGTGGTCTGACTTCACTTCATGGAGGAAGTTGCAGTAAGGACTTGTGTGAGATTATAATCTTGGCCTTCAAATGCTTGCAGGGACCTCCTGGACACTGCTGTGCCAAGAAAGCCCCAAACAGAATCACATCTGTGAAAACTGGAGAACAAAAGGATATTGTCAGTCCTTGTGTGTCCTCAGTCACTCCAGATCTGGTAGCAGCCACGAGCTTCCTCATGGTTCTATGACCACAGCTTTTCTTCAGCTGTGTGTTTTGTTAATTTTTAAAAATGTTTTATTTTTCAATGCACTTTAGCTAAAATAGAATTGTACCACTTCAACCTTCTCTTTCTACTCTCCAGCTCCTCCCCAGCTCCTCCCCAGACTCCCCTCCAACTCTCAAACCGATAGCCTCTTTTTCTTTGATTATTGTTGTTACACACACACACACACACACACACACACACACACACACACTTATAAAAATAGTCTGATGAGCCCATTATTTTATCTATCTATCTGTCTGTCTGTCTGTCTATCTATCTATATCTATATCTATCTATCATCT